AAAATGGGGTACTTCGAAACAATTACGCTCAGAAAAGCGTTAGTAGACTAGCGCCAACTATTGGCGTACGGCTCTTCTTCAACTGGAGGGATCCGAGACATGAGGGTCGTTGTGCGATTTCCGTAGTACCTATCTGAATGAAGCGGATTCCATAGCTGCGCTTAACGAACCATAGAAGCAGGTTGTTGGTTAATTGTGTGTAATTCTTTTGTGCCTGCGAGGTTGTTAGGTGGAACTGTTTATTGACGGCCTAACGTTTCGACCAGATCGTCGTCCTCGGAGGCCTGAACATCGCCCAAGATTTTTAATTTGCTTTCTAAACCGTCAAACGCCTCGTCCTCCTAGCGTTTCTGACGAAACTTCAAGGAACAACCGAAAAACTCCCGTATGTATAACTAACTCACCAAGTCCACCGCAGCAAGAGCGGAAGAAGCCGCCCAGTCGATTGTTAGTAGTATTTGTGAGACTCACTGTGCTGTCCTTACATATAGTAATCATATTCAAGACTTGCACGTCTCACTGCTCACAGTAGCTGGCAGTGCGGTGAAAATGGCATGAGATCATTTTGTTATGGATAAGCACTCATTTCGGTTGTTCATTCTAGGATTCCTAGCAGAAATCCAGAATGCCTCCAGCGCTTTCCTGGCGGAAACCTCAGTCTCGTACGCTAAAATTTTGCACTTCACATCATAGTCGTCTCCGCAATGCTCTTCGATCAGATGCTTGCCCAGCGGTGTTGTTAGGTTACCACGCCTTTTACCAGCAAGATGTTCCTTGATGCGCGTTGCTAGCGCCCTTCCAGTCTCCCCAACAATGTATTAGAATGTCTGACTCAGAACAGTCGGTTCCGCTGCAGGAATTTGACATACGAGCAGAGGCAAGGTTTCAATGAATTACGTGAGCTAAGATCAAACGGCACTATACGCATCTCTGTGAGTGATAAGGGTGGAGAGTTTGTGGTTATGTCACAAACCCTCGATCGTCAAATCACGGAACTCCACCTGGCGGATACATCAATTTATCGTCAAGCGACCGAAAGAGAGTTCCACTCTCATGCAAGGCGTCTCATATGCGGATGGAGGCAGGGACAGTCTGCGGGACTCAACGAGAAGTTGCTTAGCAGACTCAGACTCGACAGCCCGGACTGTCCTGTCTTCTACAGCCTTGTGAAAACCCACAAACTTGCTCCTAGAGAGGGACAAAAGAGAGACATGATGTCGACATCACCGGAAACTTTCAAGATTCGACCAATCATAAGCTGCGTGGGTGGACCAACCGATCGAATTTCATGGTTTCTTAACTGCATCGTGAGCCAGTTGTTGACCAGAGTTCCCTCTCACCTGACCAACACGACCAAGTTCCTTGAACTCTTACGCAGTTCACGGCTGACAAGCACCTGCGTAGTAGAGTCATTCGATGTCACTTCGCTTTATACTAACGTCCAAGAACGATCAAGCTCTACAAGCATTGTCCGAAATGTTGGACAGGTATGTAGCTAGCATAGAGACCTATGGACTAGATAAAGCGCACATCATGACCCTAATCAAGGCATGCTTGGAATGCAACATCTTCAAGTGGTCAGGAGCTTACTACGCTCAAACGAGAGGTCTCGCCATGGGTCAACGCTTAGCACCAGTGCTTGCAATCTGCTTTATGAGCAGAATAGAAGAACCAGTACTGGAACGCTTACCGTTAATGTACTGCAGGTACATAGATGACTGCTTTATTGTAACATCAACACAGTCTGAAATGGACGAGTGTTACCGTTTGATGAATCAGCAGTCGCAGTACATTAAGCTCACACGAGAAACCCCACGAGATGGTTGGCTCCCCTACCTGAACACTCAGGTGAAGGTTTCCGATGGTCTGCTCAGTGTGAAGTGGTACAGGAAAGCAAGCTCCAAGAATATCTTGATTCACGCCACATCTGCACATCCTTCCGGGTTGAAACATGCGGTTGTTAAGAACATGTTCAAGACAGCTGCAAACGTATGCACAGGAGTGACAGAACGGCAAGAATCCATACGATTGGCTGCTGATATAGCTGCTTCAAACGGCTATACTGTTCCACATGTTCACAGGGATAACTCCACCAACTCACACTGAGCGCCCGAGCGTACCACGTCAAACTCGCCAAAGCAAGGTCCCTCTATGTATACCGTTCATATCTGATAATATAACTGCTGCAATTCAAAGATGTCTGACTCGTGCGCAGCTCCCTGGCGATGATGTTGTCATTGTGAAGCATTCCGCAATGACAAAGAATTTCTTTTAAAGAAGAAATGTTACGACCAAAAAAAAAAAACAAAAAAAAAAAAATTTTTTTTCAACCAAAAAAAAAAACAAAAACATCAGGCGGCCAGCTTGTGCGAACAGGCTCCTACGATAAGCGATGTGTACAGGGGTGGCCAAAAAGAGAGAGTCGAGCGTGTGAAAGTAGAGTGATGCGAACGGAAGTTTTTGCGAGGGCCCCAGACAGGGGAAGTGGATATGAGTACCAGAGTGGAAGATACCCAAGATCTTCCTCTATAAGCTGGAGCAGGCTGCCGCCAATCGCTTCATGTACGCCAAAAATGAAGTCATCTCCAGTCGCGGCCTGACTGGAGAACACCTTTGGAATTCACGTCGCCTCCAAACAGCTGCGAAACTTCTTGAATGAAGTCATCCACAGATAGCTACCTGGAGGTCAGTACTCTTGATCTGCAAGACCTCCCACATCGAGCAGCTTCCTCAACTTCGCTACGGTCTAGGACATCATCTTCACCGTGTTCGCCGAGGCGCGAGTTGATGGTATGGACCCGGGTTACCTGGAAAGGGGAAGACCGATATTTTCTTTGTAGACCCCGACTGAAGGTGAGCGCTGGCGGTTACATCAAGTAACTCGAGAAGAATATCCTCCCTACATGTGGTCGCCCGTACCTTTCCTTTGGAGCTCCTCGAAAAACTGAACCCTATGGCGAGCCCCAGCGGAAATGACTATGTTAGACTTCTGTCAGTGCATGATAAATTGAACAACACAACGTGGAACTTTTTTTCAAGAAAAGGGTCACTTCTAATAATTCGCTGGATAATAATCATAATCACTTTCGTCAAGGAAATTGTCAAGCAAGTTCGTAGGGTTCCTCTCAAGATTGGTCAGATTAGGCTGAAAGAGCATTTCAAAGTCATAGAATCCGCCGGGAAGTACAGATTTGAGCAGGTATTGTCCGTGTTCGCGGAGGCGAAGTGTCGCTACAACTTTTTCTCCCTTCTTAACTGGGCAGTCACCATAATCTGAGCCTATTTCCTGCAATACTTTGTAAAGAAAATATTTTCTAAGTGCAGATGCTGGAATATTTTTGAGTTTAGTCATGCAGCCAAATGAAAAAGAGAGCATTGAATGATGTGGCATTGTGGCATATCTATACAAAATCTCAACTGTGACTTTTCTATGCAAGCTACACTCCATAATCGTAATCCTCAATCCTAATCACTCATTAATAATCAATACACTCATAATCATAATCCTCGTTGCCTCTCCCTTCCCCCGCTTATTCCGCTCAATCCATTGTCTACAACTTATTTCCATGTGCTGCTTTGTTTTATCATTTGTTCATTAATTGCATGCTGCCGCTTATCGGTCAATTTCAATAACTATGTTGTGTTTTGTTCTGCTTTACTAACCGATAATAAATCATAATCATAATCATAATGGAAGACATAAGGGCTTGATAGCCGAGCAAGTCTCCTTCTTCGTTCGTATTGGGACTACGAGATCCGACGACTGAAGATGTGAGCTGAGTTATCTAGGACTCACACTGTGTCGTTTGTCGGCCTCGAGGAGAAAAGCGCCCTATGCTGGCAAGATCGTGCACTTCAAGGAAATCCTCCTCTGCTCCTTGTGGAACTCCAGCCCTACACTGCCAGCTGCTCTCGCAAAGCGCGCGACGTAAACAAAGAGATCCAGAGAAAAATCGAGGAGTTAGGCCTAAGTAATCCACACTGTTCTCTTAACAAGCTTATCCGTTCATTCAGCCTCTGGAGGTTTCCTTGGATGAGAAAACGTTCTCAAAGTTTGACGACATAGGTCGAGCAGTCGCCAGCTTCTTGGACCCTCAGGCTGCGTTCATACTTTGCGGCAGCGTACGCCAGCGTACGCTAGCGTTCCCAGAAAACTATATGTTTGACGGTAAAATGGGGAAAAACAGCGTGACAAACCTTTGCTTTTGATGTATCCATATTTGTCCACATCAGCACATCTCCTGCCTGCAGCTTGTAATTTTGCTCAATTAGTGGGAAAACTGTTCCTACAACAAGGACCGTATCATCAGTAACTTTTTCAAAGAGATAATACTCCTGCGGGTATCAGGGGCTTTGTGCTCTGTAACTGCATTTCTTCTTGATTGCTTCGTGAAGTTCGCGCACTCCATATCTCCTATAGTTAGAAGAAGGGGGCGCAGTGGCGCACTTCACTCCAACGCGACGGCAACTGGCTCGTGATGGGATATTTTCGTTGTGAGACCAGAGTTATCATATCTTGGTTCAGCAAAGACAGAATGGCTCGAACGGAAATATCCCAAAGGGTGTTTGAATGAAGTACTCGTCACGAGGGATCGCGGAAGCTTGGTAACTCAAAAGCAGGGGTACGATGAAGAGTATTCGGTAACACTCCCACGAGCGACCTCCCCCACAACGTGAGAACATTACATTTCTAATGGTAGCAATCATTAGATGTTTGATAGCTCAAAGAAAAAAATTGCTGCTATCAGGCAAGCACTTTTCCACATGGTACCCAATTAGCGATGTGGGGTGCAGTCTGACGACGGGAGAGGGGGCATTTTGCACTTTCGCTACTTCCCATCGACGTGTCGACCTATCTAGGCAGCCTCTTCTCGAGTTGACAGGTTTTACCATGATGGCTAGATGAGCTTGCTCCAGCTTCACAAGAGTTCACAGGTTTCGCCAGAGTGAGACTTGTAAACCGGAACTAGGGAAGCAATGATAGTACAAAATGCTCCCCGTCGTCAAACTGCCCCGTGATGTGGTGTTATAGGGAATGTTCTAGTGGTGGAAAGAAGATTCCCAAAAGCTGCTTACCTCCTCCCAACTGAGCGGTTTTCAGAGCAACCAAGAACGTTGCGAAGCGGTTCCCTAGTTTGTCCAACAGCCGGTCCTCTGCGCGTTCTTCTTCAGACGCGAGGTAATCGTGACGAGGAGCGCGATGCTGGTTATTTTTGAAGATGAGGACCTAGACTGCATCGTTTAACTGAAATTCATGTGGCTTCGATAGAGAAATCTAATGTTTGAAGTTCAACAATTCTCCTCATCACAAAATTTCTTTGCCCTTAAAGAAATTGGTTGATGTTTTAACCTCACTAGTTCCCAGATGCTCGACACAGTCACAGGATACCACGTGTTTTGTTCCCTTGTCTGCAATTTCTAGGCACTGCTCGAAAGGACGGTGCCCGGTCAGTGCTGGAATACTAGACCTCCAGAAGGAATAAGAATGCAGAAATGTGAATAATTTGGACGGTGCTATGGAAACGGACACAGTTGAGTTTTATTCCTGTTTGCGTGCCACCACGGATGCCACCCTAAGTGGCTAGAGTCTTGTGCTGGAGTTGGAACCAGTAGATGTTGTCCACTGATTTTCAGTGGCTTTTTTTGTGCAGACTGGACCGGCCAGAGAATTCAACCAACTTTCCCTGGAATTTAGAAAGGAGACCTGGGTAGATCGATAGAGTCTACAAGGTTATCCACAAATATACAGGGCGGGGCCAAAAAAGTCACTTTTCTTCCTTGACTTTCAGGGCGCTATAAGTTACAATTGATTATCTGATGGTGTATCCACCACCATATTCAACAGCATATTGTATACTATCATGATGCTCCGCCACAGCCTTCTGGACGAGCGCCATCGAGAGATTCTGCCACGCGACCGTGAGTGGGTACCTGAGTTCAGCGAGATCGTTGATTTCTCCGCCACTGTAGACACTGTTGAGTTCCGCTTGAACTGGTAATTAAGGGGGCTCTTAGGCTGAGTGACACACTTGGATATTCCGCCTTCTTCAGGTACTCAACGCCCTTCCATTCCAAGTAGGCGAGAGTTTTTCCAACGCCCTTCGATTCCGTGTGGAGGCACCCAATCCTGTAGCAGTACGAAGTTTCCAAGAAGGTACAGGCGATGACATGAAGGCAGGATATTCTTCACGAGTTGTCGATGTAACCGTCAGCGCTCACCTTCAGTCCGGGGTCCACGAAGAAAATATCGGTCTTCACATTCCAGGAACTTCCGGTCCATACCATCAACCCGCGCCTTGGCGACTGTGGTGAAGATGATATCCTGGACCGTAGCGACGTTGTCGGAGCTGCTCGATGTTGGAGGTCTTCCAGATCAAGAGTACTGGTCTCCAGGTAGCTATCCATGGGTGACTCCATACTAGAAGTTTCGCAGCTGTTTGGAGGTGACGTGAATTCCAAAGGTCTTCTCCAGTCAGGCTGCGACTGGAGATGACTTCATATTTTGAAGGTGATGGGCGAGAGCCAGCTCCTGCTTATCGAGGAACATCTTGGGTATCTTCCGCCCTGGTACTCGTATCCACGTCCTCTGTCTGGGCTGCGAAAACTTTGCTGATATGTGACTCGGTCGAAGTGTCTTTTTTTGGCCCCTTCTGTAGATACCAAAATTGCAACCTGCATTTCACAAGCAACTATGAGCAGGCAAAGTTTGTAATGGTTCAGAATGGTGGAGGTTGGTGAAATGCAGCTTGCAGTTTTGCTATCTATATTTCTAAATGACCTTATAGACTCTATCGATCTACCAGGTCTCCATTTAAAGCTCCATGCTAAGATGGCGGACTTCCCTATTGAGGCTGCACATCGTCACCAGCGGTTCATCAGATACAACGTTATATTGTAATTATATTGAGTTTTTATTTACATTTACCTGCCAAGGATCACTGGAGTCGAAGTTGACGAAGGGAATGAAACGTTTGAGCCTGTTGAAAAGCCTCGCCACTCCCGCCTTCTCCCGGTGTTTCAGCTCTATTTCAGTAGCTTGAAGTTGGGACTCTTCGTCGACATTGATGTCGGGACTCTTCGCCTGTGAAAGTCAATTCGTACTATGTAAAAGATCTTCTTTTTGAGTATATTTCCTCAACGCAATAAAGGCGACCTTGTTCTAAGGAACACTGCCCGACTGAGTGAAGGGCTTCTTGCACCCTTTTGGAGGTTTAGCCTTTCTGATTATTTCTGTACATCTTTCTTCTTCTCATGTTTTCCTTTTAGCAACAGCTTTTTTGTTTTTCCCCGAGCAACGGTCTGACTAAGAGAAGATCGGTCACATTTCGCTGCTGCATTGGGATCAAGGCAATCCTCAACCCCTCCCCGAAATTCTTTTGTGTAACGAGCACCCTTCTCTTACGATCTTGCTTCCAAACATCTCGCTAAGCTCCCCCAATTCTAACCCTTTTTCCGAAAGTTCTCAAAAAGTTCAAGCTCTGCTCCAGAGTCCCGCCGTCGATCGGAACGAGAGTGAGGTCCCCATCAAGCTACGACTCTCGAAAATAGGCCGTCGAAACGAGTTCCCCGGCCAAATACGACTCTGTTTCTTCTAGCGACCAAATACGACACCTGCTGAGCCCTGCGTACGACGTTCCCTGATTGGAATAAAAGATAAAAGGATAAAGTCTTCGCCGTTGATCAATCCCTTTGTGGGATGCGGCACGCATTCTACTTCCATTCAGAATCGCGGTGGCTAATTGAATGCGATGATGCCTACAGAATGGCATGGGGCTCATTCGATGTAGAATTGTGGTTTTCCCTTCTAAGTGGATTTAGTTTACCCAAAAAGACTAATTTATCGTCCTCAGATGGTGGAAGGCTTGATTGATGTGGGCGGGAGCCAATCCAGGGTTTGATTCCCGGACCAGCACAGTGTAAGCGTGCCACTTGCCATTCCAGCTCCGCCTCGTAGTTGGGACACTAATATGATTCTGTAGGTGGTAGTTGACTCGGCACTGACGAAAAAATGGACAATGCTGTTAATAGTGCCCTTTTGCAGTTAGTTATAAGCACTGCCCCAGGATACGAGGACATGGGAGCGACAAGAGGCAGGAAGAACCATATCGGTTTACTCATTACATGGGAGTGACAATCGACCACAACATTAGCCGTACGTTGTGTGACGTGTGACGAATATAGCACAGCCTACGGACCTGCGAAGCTCTTGCATTATGCAGAAAGAGGGTCATGCCTTGCTAGTGGTCGTGTAACGTGTGTACGCTCACCCACTTTTCTTTGCAAACAGCAGGTAACCTGTTCACTACTGTTTCTAAAATTAGCGCATTTCTTACAAAAGTACCTTACCTTAGCACTTCTGACGTCGCTGAGGAAATCCCTCAAGTATTTCCGGGGGGCAAAACCTCGATAGACGATTATAGGAGGAAAAACTTGTAATAGTTCAACTTTGACCAGTTCGTAATTCCACAGATAAGTTGTGCAACCGAAGACATCTAAGATAATGACTGTGATTTCTTGCTATTTGCTTAGTACATAAGAGAATTGTTAATATCGCATACATACTATAATAATTAGTCGGTAACTTTGCCCACCGTCTTCGCTTCCTTCTGTGTCAAGTTCTGCGTAGGTAGTCTTGTCGCACAGGTCCAGATACTCTTGCGCCCATTGCTCCTTGCCAGGGAATTCTATAACTCTTCTGTCTTGCTTGCTTTTTGCGTAAACCACAGATGTTCCTAACAACAATAAGATCGCTGCACGGGTAGTCATTCCCTGAAACGAATAGCTTACATTGTTCTTTATCCAAATAATCCGGAAGTAGTATGCATCGAGGAGGAGGTGTTGTGATGACAAAAGGCGCGCTTACCATGCGCATTCCTAGGTTCGAATCCCAGGCCAACCAAATCTTGTGTCCTTCGGGGAGGGGGGGGGGTGAATAATAAAATAAAATGGTACCAGATTCGTCTGGAAGGAAAAACACACTTGTACATCGGCTGGCCTCGCAAGTCATTGTATGGGCCACATCGCATTCAATAAGCCACTACGATTCTGAATGGAAGTAGAATGCGTGCCGCATCCCACAAAGGGATTGATCAACGGCGAAGACTTTATCCTTTATCCCTTAGTATTTACCTAATCAAAGGCACGTTTTACGATAGCCAATAGGTAGAACTACTTGCGAAGACTCACTATCATCGCGTCTTGCCCGTGGGCACATCCCCCTTGTTTGCCTTGTCAGGAAGGTGGGGCGCATCATTGAATAGTGCCCATCCATGAGGCCAATAAAGTCAGCCATACACTATCATTTTTTCCCTTCTGTTACTATTGGAATTGGCGTTTTTTCTGAACGTGAAGGCTTAAGTTGCCAACATTTATCCACATTGAAAACCATTCAGTTTCAGAAAAGCTCAAATGGAAAGGCTGTCTAGACCAGGGTCCTCGGGCCTGAATCACTTCGCGCTGGGTTCAGCTGGATTGCTAGTTCCCCGAAGTAAACATCTCCAGTGCAGTGTAGGTACCAAGAACCTCTGATTCTATGTTCAAATTGATCAGAGCTTGAGACCATTGCAAAGACTGCCATAGTTCAATAAAATTTCTAATTGTGAAGCTCGAAAATGTCATCTTTCATAACAAAGGAGTGTGGAAGGCTCCGTCTGAAATGTTGCATCATATTCAAGTATCACTGAGATTTATGATGATGTTCTATAGGTTGTACACGAGCAAACTCCTGTGTCAGCTGCATCGCCCGTGCTTGCACAGTCATCTTGTTGTCTTTCGGAGCTCGCCAAACAAGTAGTCTCAATGATTGCGTTACGCGTTTCCAGGCGTCGAATCCGATAACAGTTCACACGGCACTCATTCTTGTTTGAAATCTTCATCACAAATATCACTTCAAGTGGCCTGCAGTGCTCGAGAGATGAAAAATTAGTCAGCCGGAATTCGAGGTTGTGCTGCTTCAGCGGTCAAAGACATGACGTCAAGTAAATACCGTGGAAGAATACCCCTACGATAATCAGGAAGTTGTGAGCAGGCCATACTATAGATCGTCGCCAAATCCTGAACTTTATATGTATCAGCATCATTCGCCAACTGGTGTCGGCAACACTCTAGTGATCGACACTCTGGGAAAATTCTCTAGACCGGGGAGGCCAGGGTATTGAAGGCAAACTGCACGATAAATCCGTGGAATGTATAGGATTAATACGATTAGCATGACAGCATTCGGTTCCCCTTAGCAGGCGCTACGTGGTGCCACTGCTAAGGAAGATACTCTTATAGCGCCCTATCACGCTGCACACACCGACCTGGAAGCCTATCGTGCCCGCCCTCACACAAATGTGCGACTAATGCTAATGCTCGATGCGTTCATTTGCGAAGTGCAATATGGAGCGAAGAGATCGACATACGGTGCTACATGGATATATGAGTTCATACATGGAGCCATATCTACCGCAGCGGTTACTGGCACGATGCCAACAGGAAACTCGTCCGAAATCGCTTTCTGAGTCGTAGAACAACGGTTTTTCGCAGGTTTTCAACCATTTCACTTTGCGTTTTTGCCATTTTCTTGCTATAGTACTCCTGCTACCATTTCAGATCAATCACCAAACTATCGTGCCTTGTGCCTTTAACATATGGCTTCACACGCAACTGAGAACTGACGCGAATGTGATTGGATACTGTATTCTTAACACTGAGATTGCACGCACGGCACCATTCGAAGAGTCGCAGATACCGCACCTTCGCGACACCTGAGATGTCTTTTCCTATACTCCAGACGACAAGAATCATATTGAAATGCTTCAAACAGAGTTCTCCTTGCCCCAAGCGGACTAGAGAAGAGCAGCGAGAGAAGCAACACGATACATACCGGAACATGCAGTCACCGAGCTTTCTGCGGAATTACTCGAGCTGCGCCTGAATCAAAGACACTACCCGCGAAGAAGTGGTCCTCAAAATGACTCCGTGCCTTTTGAACTGTTATACGCGTTCACAAAGAACATACCACTTTCGTCCCTCAAAACGGCGCGATAAAGAAGTTAGAGACATTTGCGCGTGGCAACAGTGGCGACATCATACTGTAGCTGGACGAGACAACGGCTCGCGAGCAGCTTCTATCCCTACAACACCCGCGCGGCACGTGCGGCGCTTCTGGCACTTTGCCATCTTCGGTGATCCGCGCTTTCCATAGCGATTAAGCGCAAACCTCGCACCGTTGGACATGAAGACGACTTAGGCTGTTTTGGGTCCCTAGTCTTTGTAAGCGCGACTCCAAATAGGAGGATG